TAATTTTTTTTTTTTTTTTTTTTTTTTGAGGCGGTAACAGGTTTTTTATTTTTTAGAATAGGCATTAAAAATGAATGTCACTTTAATTTATTTTCTGGGTTTTTTTGTCACTTTAATTTAGAAAATAAACATGAACACATGAATCTTTTTTACAGAGGAAATGTATCATGCAATGAAATAACAGAATCATTTTTTCAAAAAACTTTTAGGGCTTTTTCTGTATTTTTGCTTCTTTGGGTATCATCAGCATCAGGACTCATTAAACCTTAGAATAGTATCTTAGCTCTGTTTTCTCTATATTTTAAACAGAAATTATTTTTAGTACCAATTATTCTGAATAATCTAATATAGCCAGATGCAGATCTGATAGATGCTAAGAGAATTCAAATGAACTAAAGATGATTGAACTATTTTTTTCTTCCTGAAATAGAAACATGATTATCTCATCACAATCCTGGATGTTCACAGTCTTGTTTATTCATGAGTTTCTTGTTTCTGACTTAATGTGAGTCAGCTTCATCTGCAAGTAGCGTGTTCTACCTTTTTCTGGTTTTTAGTTACCAAAACAATATACTTGTTGGACTGGAGATTTAGCTCAGTGCTTCTGCCACCTGCCTCACAAGCACAAGGTCCCGAGTTCGATCTCTGGTACCAAAAAAAAAAAAAAAAAAAGAATATACTTGTAATGTATGGGTTATCTTTCTTATCTCTTTTGGAAAATTGGCTTTCTATATGATTGTTTTAATAGCTTCTTTTTCACTTCTATGACCCTCTATTTTGGTGTATTGCTTTTTTGTTTGTTTTGTTTTTTGAGACATGGTCTCACTATGTAGGTCAGGCTGGTTTTGAGCTCACTATTTAGAACTGGCTGGCCTTGAATTCACAGTGTAGTCCAGGTGGCTTCAAACTTGTAATGATCCTCCTGCTTCGGCTTCCCAAGTACTAGGATTATAGGTGTGCGCCACCATGCTGGGCTCTTTTGCTGTTTTAAAAGGAAATGAACAAGTGTGTTGGAAATTGCTCTGTGTCTAGCAACGTATCTCACAGCATGCTAGTTGCTATATCAAGCATGTGTTCTTGGACAAATCTTTAATTTTTCTTGAGCTTAAGATGTTGATATGAAAAGAGAAAGTTAACAAGAAACCAGCTAGGGTCTTTCAAAAAATATTAATAATCTTTGATTTGTCTATAGTGAGAAGTATAACAAAACAGACCCCTTTATTCTTACACATATCATTTGGATGTTGTCACAATAGATCAATTTATTTGTGATTGATTCATTTGTAATTCATACTGTTTTTACTTTCAAGACCCTGCTTTTACATGGAAACATCATTACTTCTCTTAGAATGGCACCTGCTTATCTACCCAGAAGTCTTGCTATACTTTCTTTGGCAGAAAATGAAATTCGAGACTTAAATGAGGTAAAATTTTATGCTATTTATGTGGTCTAGGAAGGTGGAAAGTCCAGAAGACACATAGAAGAGGTTTGTGAGTTCCCTTTTAGGCCTTGAACATCTTGGAAGAAAAGGCCATCAAGATAAAATACTTGGCTCTAGATGATCATTATTTTTCTTTCTATTTTTTCTTAGTAACAGTGGTTGATGCGTCATTAAAGTCTACTTTCTTTTGTAATGCTGCAATTATATTTTCAAAATGGGGTTCTTTCTGCTCGGAAATAGTCCTGGTACTTTCTAAGGGACTTTGTGCAGCAAGGACAAATAACCAATATTGTTGGAACTTTGGAAGTCAGTGGCTAATAAAGGAGTATTACTTGTTGCTTTTCAGAACAAGAGGGAAATTGATGCATTCTCAAATGCTGCCAAAGATGTGTAATCATCGAAACCCTGTGCTTGACACTGAATACTCCATTTTGTTCAACATAGATATCCTTTGTTCTAGGTCTCTTTTTTGGCATCCTTAACTGAATTGGAACAGTTATCAATCATGAACAATCCTTGTGTGATGGCAACACCATCCATTCCAGGGTTCGACTATCGGCCATATATCGTCAGCTGGTGCTTAAATCTGAGAGTCCTAGATGGATATGTTATTTCTCAGAAAGAAAGGTGAACATGACCTCCTTTTTTTTTTTTTTTTTTTACCGGGGATCGAACTCAGGTCCTTGTGCTTACGAGGCAGGCACTGGAACCACTGAGCTAAATCCCCCACCCTGAACATGACCTCTTTTACATTATGAATTATGAAAATTACTCAAAAGACTGTTTTTAGTTTACTATGGAGTAAATTGAATATTACTTAAAATGAATGTTTAGAAATTAAGAGCATTAGTGCAATTGTATAATATACTATATACTAGTCATTTAGAATTATCTCTTCTTTTTTTTAAAATGGACAAGAAATAGCTCCAGAGGTTAGGACTGGTAAGTCTAATTTAGCCCCTAATTTACAACAGTTGGATTTTGAAAAAGTTTGTTATTTGTTTGGTATATGGAACACTTTTGCATAGAAACCATGGTTATTGTATAGGATCATGGATTAATCCCATAAGAGTTTATAACATATATGTAAGGGAAATAATAATTTCTTAGAATCCAATTAACTTTCATAATAATGGCTATAGTAAAATGTAGGTATACTGATTGGTCCTTCCCTTCTCATACCTGTGAACATATACAAATGGAAACTTCCCCATTTCTCAATCTTTGATAGTTTCTCTGTCCAGAGCTTGGATGCCCATAGGGTTACGTCTTCTGGCCACTGATACTTGATAAGTGGAATCAGAACTGAAGGGAAGATAAGGAACTAGGATGTGAATATGAGAGAGTGGAAGTAGAGGGGATAATGAGTTACTCTCCTTACTATGCCTCATCTCCTCATCTCACTTCTACTCGGTACACATATACAGGCATTCATGGATTCAACATGTACATTCTCCCTCTTTTTTTTTTTGGTGCTGGGGATCGAACTCAGGACCTTGTGCTTGTGAGCCAGGCGGTGGACCCACTGAACTAAATCCCCAGCCTTCTCCCTCACTTTTTAAAATGACTATAACTTTAATAATGTTTGCTTTATTTATTTACTTTATTCCTTTGGTAGTAGGGATTGAACCCAGAGCCTGGTACATGCTAGGTAAGCACTCTTCTACTGAGCTGTATCCTCAGCTCTTTTTATTTTATTTTGAGACAGTGTCTTGTTACATTGCCTCTGCTGGCCTGGAAGTTTCTGTCTTCCTGGCCTTGCCTCCCAAATAGTTAAGATTACTTTGTCACCAGCCCTGAATCTCACTTTATTTATTTTTTTGGTACCAGGGATTGAACTCAGGACCTTGTTCTTGCCAGGCAGGCAAGGCACCATTGAGCTAACTCCCTGTCCCTCGCACTTTTTAATCCCAGCACTTTGGAAGGCTGGGGCAAGAAGACTGCAAGTTCAAGCGCAGCCTGGGCAATTTAGTAAAACTTTGTCTCAAAATAAAATAAAAAGGCTGAGGGGTTTCCTGCCGGTAGGATGAGTGATAGATTGTAGCATTTTCTGTTTCCTTCTCCAGTAGTTCCATGTAGTTGCTGAGTAGAGCAGAAAGTAGGAGTGGCACCCAGGAGATAGTAGTGGTGCTAATGTAGGGTAAGGGACTGTCTGGTCTAGTTTGCCCACAAAAAGGGTTAGCTTTCCCTTTGTCCTGTAGCAAGTTGTTCTGAGTAGAAATCTTTGTTTCAAACTGACTAGTCCTAAGGGTAGAATATGGGTGTACTTGAATTATCTTCTCTGATCTTCGATAAGAGGAAAAATCAGTTAGAATTTCCCATAGGACTGACAGCATTTTCATATTTGAGAGGCATATGGTGATAACCTAACTTCAACTTGGCCAATCCTCATGGTCAACCTTGTTTCATTTATATACCTTCATTCCCTCTTCTCCAGTATTATTTTGAGGCAAATCACAAATTATGTGCCATTTGTATTTCATTATATATCAGAGAGATAAGAGCTCTCAGACATAACCACAAAGCTATTACTATATCTCAGAAAAAGTAGGAATACTATAATGCTTTAATAAAATTAGATATTCAGTCAGAACTTAGGATTCTAATAGTCTTTATAAATGCTTGCTTATTTATTTGTTTATTTGCAGTGCTGGGGATTGAATGCAGGCTTTGTGAATGCTAGGCGAGGCAAGCATTGTTATCTCTGAATTATAACCTCAGTTCTTTTTTCTTTTTCTCCTGTTACTGGGGATTGAACTCAGGACCTTGCACTTTGTGTTTGCCAGTCAGTCTCGGTGCCACCAAACTATATCCCAAAACCATATCCTCAGTTCCTTTTTATTTTTTCCTCATTGAGTTTATTGGTACGTTTTAGGTATATAGTACAGTTACATTCATTATTGGGATCTTATAGCTTTATGTGACAGGTCGTGGTTCTCATTTTTTCCCCTTGTGTCCTTGCCCTCCCTTTACCCCCATATCCTCGATTCTTAAATGCATTTTTTTATTTCTTGTTTTGACACAGGTTTCACTGTATAGTCCCAGGCTGACCTTGAACTTACTATCCTCTCTTACTTTAGCCTTTTAAGTGCTACAATTACCTGTGTGCATTACCATGACAGCTTTTTAAAAAAATTTTTTAAAACAAACAAACAAAAAACAACTGTTTGTGGTACTGGATATTGAACATAGGAATGTGGGTCTATCTCACTGAGCTATATCCCCAGTCTTTTTTTATTTTCTATTTTGAGAAAAAGTCTTGGTAGGTTACCTAGTCTGGGCTTACATTTGCAATCCTCTTGTCCTAGCCTCCCAAAGTGCTGGAATTACAGGCATGTGCCACCAGGTCTAACTTCAGTGCATTTTAAAAATAAAGTTCAGCCGGAGATTTAGCTCAGAGGTTCTGCCGCCTGCCTTGCAAGCACAAGGACCCAAGTTCGATCCCTGGTATCAAAAAAAAAAAAAAATAAATAAATAAAATAAAGTTCAAATAAGAAATACATTGCAATTGGTTGATATCTATCATAAATTTCTTTCTTTTTTTTTTAGTGATTTAAAGCATTAATTTATTATTATAATAGCCTATTCCTAGGTTGTCTGTGCTGGTTGGTTTGGGATCCTAGGCTCTTACCATCATTACACAAAGGGAGATAGCATCATTTGAAGGCTTGGCTTGTCTGGATGTCCAAGGTGATTCCCTTAGATCTCTGAATCTATCAGTTACTCATCTCTTTTATGAGCTTTGTTTGCTTTATTTATTTTAAAATTCTCATTCTTTATTTATCAGTTTTCAAAAATGAGTTGGAGGTTCACTAGCATCCTATATGACTCGTTAGCTTTTTTTAAAAAAACTGTCATTATGAAGTAATGATTTTATTTATTTATTTATTTCTCATTGAGTTTATTGGTACATTTAGGTGTACAGTACAGTTACATTCATCATTGGGATCTTGTACCTTTACATGATAGGTTTTGGTTCTCATTTTTCCCCTTACCCCTGCCCTCCCTTTACCCTGAAATAATGATTTTAAATGTAATTACAGTGGTACAATTTGGTTGCAACCAGAATCGTGGAATGAATTCTGTGACCAGAATCATGGAAACAATTAAGTCCCTGAGTCTCATACCACTCCAGCTTGTCAGAGTGAATGGAGAGAATACTCATTGCTTCTTTGAAAATAGTTTGAAAATATTTGAAATCATTAGTACAACCTTATGGAAGTTTCCCTATGTGTGAAAACAGGTTTAAGATATAGAGCAAAAGAAGTGAGTCAGAAAGATAGACTTTTATAAGAACTTGGGTAGATTGTATTTATGAAAAACATCCAATAGTTTTATTAAGGTAAATTAAGAAGGAAGATCACTGTTGCTTAACAAGATCTTTTGGCCATCCTGGTACCATTGCCTCTTTATTTTCCTGAATTCCAGTTTGAAAGCTGAATGGCTCTATAGTCAAGGTAAGGGGAGAGCATATCGACCTGGCCAACACATCCAGCTTGTCCAGTATCTGGCTACAGTTTGTCCTCTCACTTCTATACTGGGTCTTCAAACTGCAGAGGATGCCAAACTAGAGAAGATTCTGAGCAAACAGAGGTAAACCCATTTATTTGTGGCACCTGTTGAGTTCACAAGTGGAAATAACGTCACTCCTTTCTCCAGTAATAGGTTGGAGGCCAGTAGGTTGGCCCAAAACTTTGTGCACTTGGGCCTCTTGTCACTAGCAATCCTACAGGAAGCTGAGCCACACAGTGCAGCTTACTCCACAGCAACTTATTGCTAACTACTTTTTGAGCAGGGAGAGCTAAGCAATACGTTATGAAGAAACGATATATATGTGTATGTATATATATATATCAGGGGCTCAGGGGCTGGGGGCATAGATCAGTGATAAAGTGCTTATCTAGGATGGAAGCATCTTAAATAATGTATTTGTGGGGCCTGGGGACTTAGCTCAGTGGCACTGTGCCTGCCTCGCAAGTGCAAGGTCCTGAGTTTGATCCCTGGTATTAGGGAAAAAAAGGTACATTTTAGTCTTAAATTTTTACCCAGTGCTTTAAAATGAGATTTTATAATTTGCCAGTGATTAAAGATACCTACCTCTCAGAGTTGTAAACTTCCACCTTTTTGACATTGTTACCTAGGAAGCAAAAGAACTGAGTTTTTTGTTGTTGTTGGTTGGTTTCTTTGTTTTTGTTTCTGTTAGTTGACATTAGAGGTTACTGATTTTTAGGTTTCACCAGAAGCAGTTGATGAGCCAAAGCCAAAATGCAGAGTTGTCTTCTCTTGTTCCTATTGAAACCAGGCCTCCCCTTGTACCTGAGCATTCAAGCCCTGTTCAAGATTGCCTCATAGTGCAGGAAAGTGGTAAGAAATTAATATATCTTTAATCACTTTTCTTCAAGTAATTGGATTTGTTGGGTACCATAACAGAAAAAATTATATATTCTTGTAACTTTATTAGTATAATTTTAGTGATCATTTGGATTTGATACTATATGCACACATTTATTATATGTGTATGTTTATATACATTGTAATTGTTGTATTTCTGTTTTTTAAAAAGATGTTAGGAACTGTTAGGTGTGGTGGTTCATGCCTGTGATCCCAGCACTCAGGAGGTTGAGGCAGGAGGATCACCATGAGTTTAAGGTCAGCGTGGACCATATAGTGACCTGAACTGCATAGCAAGACCTTGTCTCAAAAAAACAAAAAAATTCAAGGGCTGGGGATTTAGCTCAGTAGTTCTGCTGCCTGCCTCTCAAGCATAAGGTCCCGAGTTTGATCCCCAGTTCCAAAAAAATTCAAGAACTGCTTCATTTTATGTGAACCAGAGGCTTTGATTGTTGCAAGAGTTTGTGTTCTTAAAAATGTTTAGCCTTGCAAGCTCAAGGACCTGAGATTGATTCCTGGTACCAAAAAAAAAAAAAAAAAAAAAAAAAAAAAAAAAAAAAAAAAAAAAAAAAAAAAAAAAAAAAAAAAAAAAAAAGTATGTTTGGTTTGTGGGCCAGGGGATTTAATTCAGTAGTTCTGCTGCCTACCTCGCAAGTTCAAAGTCCCGAGTTCCATCCCGGGTTTGATGTTCTAGGCATGTCACTGAAGACATTTATTTAACTATATTTCAGAAATTAGATTTCATTAAAATAATACAACTAAAAAAGCTCTTAAAATATTTAGTAAGTTAATGATGCTCTGTTGATTCTTATAGAACCTGTTGTCCAGGTCAATTCTTGGGTTGGGATAAGCAATAATGATGACCAATTACATGCTGCTAAGAATAACTTTCCAGCCTCTGCACACACTACAAGATATTCTCGAAATGACCTGCATTTGGAAGACATACAGACAGATGAGGACAAGTTAAACTGTAGTCTTCTCTCTTCAGAATCTACTTTTATGCCAGTTGCATCAGGACTGTCTCCAGTATCACCTACAGTTGAACTGAGGCTACAGGGCATAAACTTGGGCCTAGAAGATGATGGTGTTGTGGATGAATCTTTGAAAGGTCTGGAAAATCAGGACTTTGATAAGGAAGAGGAAAAGGATTTATGGGATATACATGAGAATTCTGTTCAGCTATTGAAAAGTAAGATCAATACAGAGGTAAATGAGAAAAGTGGGCTCTTATCTTGTCCTGAGTCAGCAATTATTAGTGCTGTCTCAAAGGATGATAACCACAGTCTTACACGTTTTCCTGAGTCAGCTGGACACAATGTCTCTCATACAGAGCCAGATAGTGAAGAAACCATGTCTCAGACAACTTCAGAGAAACTTCTTTGCGGGATTTTAACTCAGAGATCTGTTTCTTTGGGACAAAATAAAGTTTCTCTTCAGAAATTGAATGAAGCAGCCACCAAAATTCAGGCCTGTTGGCGAGGCTTTTATGCTAGGAACTACAACCCTCAAGCCAAAGAGGTGCGTTGTGAAATCCGGCTACGGAGAATGCAGGAGCACATTGTTTGCTTAACTGATGAAGTAAGGAGGTGGGTCAAAAATCCTGTTCTGTGCTGTTTTGTTGGTTTGTGGTGTCAATTTTTTTTCTTATTGCTGAGGACCAAGTTCAGGACCTTGTGCTTGCTAGGGAAGCTCTCTGCCCCAGGGCTAAATTCCCAGTCTCCAGGGATATCAGTTTCTTAAGTTGTTTCAGAGCACTATGCTACTGTGTTCATAACTTTTCATACCGTGCAGCACTGTTGATTTACCTGTTTGTTTCCTACAGTATACTGAAAGCATCATGAGGGCACAGATTGTCATATGCATCTCCATCCCAGCACCGTGGTTGATACATAGATGCAGTGCCTCAAAAATGTTGAATGAACATGAGCTGTATGAGGATGTGTAAATTCTGTACATAAAGAGGTACAGACCATGTAGAAAAACTGGACAAATAAAGTATGGCTTAAGGAAGTCTACATAGATTCCAGGAAGTGACATAAGAAATAGAGAAAAATACTAAGAATTCAAAAGGGACTAAAATTCTGGGGCTACCATTAAGAATTTTCCTTTAATTCCATGGCTCACGTGTTTATTGATTGTCAAACCAGGAAAATTAGGATTTCACTAGTATTAACAGTACTAGTATTTTCATTATTATTAACTAACAGTATTTATTAGTGTTATTAGGTGGAATCAGAAAAAGCAACAAAAGACACCAAGAAGAGATAGCAAGAGTGGTATAGGAGAGTATATGTTCAATTCTATCAGGGCAGAGTGTTTCAGAAGAGATCAGAGGTGCCATAGGAAACACACAGAACTACACATTAGATTTCCAGTAGGAAGGTAGTGGTGACTTGATTGGTGATCCTCAAGGCTGTCATAGGATCCATGATTTGCTAAATGTATTTCTAGAACTCAGGAAAATTGTTCTGTTCCTGGTTACTGTTTACTATAACAAAATCATACAGATTAAAATCATCAAAAAATTACACACAGAGTCCAGGAGAAAGTAGATACAAGCTTTCAGTTGTCTTATCCCAATTGAATTGTGCAGACAGGGCTTAATTCTCACAGAAACGATTTGTGATCACAAAGTGTTGTCAACCAGGGAAGCAAGTGCACCTGAGCATCAGTTTCCAGGTTTTCTTCGGGTGTCAGTGTGACCTTAACTGCTCAGACCTCAGGCTCCCTAGAGGTCGAACTGATACACTATGGCCTATAGCCCCAGGTAAACAAACCAGGTATTTAGAAGTCACATTTTAACTTTTTTGTTGTTGTTGTTACTGGGGATCAAACTCGGGCCCTTGCACTTGGCAAGGCAGGTGGTGGAACCACTGAACCAAATCCCTGCCCTAGAAGTCACATTTTAGTATAAACTGTGTGACCCAAGACCTCAGTTGCACAAGATATTCTTTTCATCTGGATATTCCAAATGCATGGAGCTTGTCAAGGGCCAGTCCTATCTTTGGAACACGAAGAGCCAGAACATCCCAGTCTTGCCAAGTTAACCCTTTCCAGCATAGTAATTTTCTTCAGAGCATCCTCAGTGGTGTGAGGGGATGAAAGCCAGTCTGGAATAGGTTGGATAGTAAATGTAAGGTAAAGAATTAAAGGTGAGAAAAGAAGGGATCCAGTACATAAGTAGAGGAAGTAGCCTGAGGTAGAAGCAGGAGCCAATAAGGTGGTATGTTTGATGTTGGGAGGATGGATAAGCCTTGCCTGATATATCATCTTTTTTAGTAATTTTTCAAATATAGCCAATACTTGAAAATGAGAAGAAGGATGAGGTACCAGCTTAAATGTGAACTAACGGAGTCTGGTACGGTGGAGCAAGCCTGTAGTCCTACCTACTTGTGTGGCTGAAGCATGAGGATTGCTTGAGTCCAGGAATTCAGACCAGGAATATAGACCTCATCTAAAAATACAAAACAAAATTTAAAAATAAGTCTGATTGGGGCCGGGAATTTAGCTCAGCCAGAGTTCAGCTGTCTGTCTCACAAGCACAAGGTCCCGAATTTGATCCCTGATACAAAAAAAGAAAACAGGTCTGATTGTAGATTTTCATTATCAATTCATAGATATTCTTTTCTGATTCAGGCCTGGTTAGTATTTGGTTTAGCTGGGAATGGATTTTCCCAGCTGAATATGATAGAGAGAGGGATAGAAGGGTAAGGGAGCTGAAGATATTTAATAAGGGGGAGTAATAATGGACCTTGAAATTTAAATGAAGAAAAAAAGGAAGTAAAGGCAAAAGGAAAGAGCTATTGGATTTGAGATCTAGAAGATTGGAGGTTTAGATTGTTACAGTGGGTACCGGAACAAATGAACTGGTGAGATAGGAAGGTAATGAGTAGTTAGTATTAGGTAATTGGAATAATTTTTGCAAGTTGTGTAGCCAAAATAATTTGGTCTACAAATGGGTGACTGATACGGGGTGGATTATTGTTAGAGCATCTGTATCAGTAGTGGCAAACATATTGTATGTGTACTGCAACAGGTATGCAATGCAGAGCCCTCTCTGTCTGCATGTGCAAGCATTGGATAACAGTGACATAGGGAACATGTGTATGCTTGGAAAGGAGTAGTGGCACTGAGTGATGTCACAAGCCTTGACTCATTAGCCACAACTCTTTTGAGCTTTTGCATGGCTGGTCAGTGTGCTGACAAGGATATATACATTTACTTGGACCAGCTGTGAGTTTTAATATATTTGTTTTTATTTGCACAAGACTTTAGCTTTGAGTTTGCTTATGAAATATTGAAATTTAATATCTAAGATTTAGAAAAGATATTTTTCTTTTAAGAAATAATGTATGACTTGTTTTTCTAAACTAAAACCTCAGTATTTAGGTTTAATTGCAGTATTGGCACTTTGCAATAAATAAATAGGTTTTGGGTTGCAGTTTGGGCACTCAGTCTCTAAAAGGTTTGCCATCATTGATCTTTGTGAATGTTGAGGTTTCCAATAATAATGACAGGAATGGAGCAGAGAGAAAGGTTGGTGCTGAGGCAAAGGTTGGTGCTGAGATATCTGTGAATGGGGATGGATAGTGGGATGTCAGTACTTGACAAAGATGTTACAAGGAATTTAGCAGGATAGCAGGAGTTCATACAGGAGGAAGGTATTTGAAAGCATCAATGAGAAGCAAATTCCTGACCTTGATGCAAGAGACAAAAAAAAAAAAATAGCTTTCAGTAGAGAGAACCACAATGTTCTCATATCTGATTCTCTTTTGGTCAAGGAATAGTTTAGAGAAGGGTTAGTTATATAAAATAATTTGCTGATTGTAATTTAAGAGCACCAGATGGCACAAGAGAATGTCTTGAGAGACTAGGGAAAGTGGAGAATTGGGGTTGGAAGTTCAATAAAGACTGGCAGTATAGCTTAGTGGTGGACTGCTTGCCTATCACACACAGCATCCTGGATTCCATCTCTAGCACTGCTAAAAAACAAAACCAAAAACACATGAGAACAAAATAGTGGTGACAGTCTGAGTGATAATCTGAAGGTGGTTTGGGTTTGTAATAGGCCAAGATGTGGAGATGGCAGTAATGATCCAAGCAAGACTTCGAAAAATGAGAGAGAATGATGGATGAAGGATGTCAGGGGTGGCTAGCATACTTTGCAGAGCCAACATCTGGACTTTCAGTCACATGTCATTTGGCTGCTACTTTGAGTCATGTTTAAAACTAAGGTTAGATATTCTAAAAGTGGAAAAGACTATTATTAGATTATTAATCTTTTTGCAGTGCATGTGTTTAATAGAAATATAAGTCAAAACAGCCTTATGTCATTAACATATTTTGAATTACTATAGATTAAGAAAAGAAAGAGATGAAGAACGTGTTAAAAAAGTTGTACAAGAAGAGGCTGTCAGATTTCTTTGGAACCAGGTAAATCTCTTCCTGCTTCTTTCACTAATATATAGGAGAAAAACTTTAGATTCATTGGGGTAATCATACAGTGGTAAGTTTTATTTATCTCTTTCTCTCTGTGTCTCTGTCCCTCTTTGCCTCTGTCTCACTCTGACTGAGGGTTTAACTGTGGGCTTTACCTATTCTAGGGATGCACTGAACCACCTTTTCTCAAGGTGAAGGATGTGGTTTTTGTTCTTTGCCATTAACTCTAAATTAGGACAGTGAGGGACTGGGGATTTAGCTCAGTGGTTCCGTCGCCTGCCTCACAAGCACAAGAACCAGAGTTCAATACCCAGTACCAAAAAATAAATTAGGACAGTGAATTTTGTTACATTTTATTTAATATGGAGAAAAATGTTTTCATTATTTAGATAAGAAAACGTAATATAAAGTCAAAGGAAAGTGGATTAATTGAGAGATGTTAATCTATTTATTGAGAATATTTGAATGAAAAGTGACAAAAGACATGGTAGTATATGATGGTTACGGTGTGCATGACCTAAAAAGTACATGTAAATGCTTGGGAGAGAAGGGTTGAATCCAGTAATAGCACACTTTAGAGACAGTTTAGGCAATTGGTTTTATTATTATATATTGCATAAAATACTTTTTGATGATAATTTTCTTGGAAATAGTTTTACAAAATAATTTTTTACAAGATTTGTCCTATAAAATTAATTTTTAAAATTTTTAGATGAGATCGGGAGTGTTCAGGGTAGTATGGCCGTAGACTTTTTTTTGATTTTTAAAGTTCACGATTACTGTCAGTAAAGGAATAGCTAAATAAAATATGGAATAGAAATGCTTTAATATACTATAGAACAGTTAAAAAGGATAAGGCAACAGTATGGACAACATGAAAAAAAATCTCCAGAATAATACTCTTAGAGAATAACAAGATGTAGAGCTTAAAGTTCCACTTGAATTTAAAAGCTCTCTATGTATTTGCAAATACATAGAAAAAAATCTGAAAGGATGAACATTGAACTACCTTCAGTGGTTGCCATGAATGATGAAGAAAAACAAAAAATTCTGCACATTGCTTTCTTGCCTGCAATTTTAAGTACAATTTTGACATTTATGCTTTTAAAATGTAAAGTTTATAGAATGAAGAACTTGGGACCTTAGTAGGCATTTTAGAAAGCTGCATATCCTGTATTTTAGATAATAAGTTTAAACTTTTCATGGATATCTAAAATGGGATTTATATTAGAGGATCTGCTTATACTAATAGGCTCTAATTGGTCTTATTGAGTAGACTTCACTATATATTTTGTTCAGTATTAACCCATTAGTAAGACATGTACTATCAAGCTTCTTGTTGTTATGCTACCAGGAGCAAGAAAATTGCTTTAGATCATTCCCAGTGTCTTGGTGAGAGCTTTTTGTTATCAAAAACATGTATTACTTGAGCTAACCTGGTTTAGGCTAGAGATGCTATGAAAAGGATTGGAAGAGTCAGTTTCTTTTTAATTAAACTTTTATTTTTATTGCTACATATTTGCAGTATATAATGATTACATTCCTCATTAGTTTGTATACATAACACATCTTAATTCTTTTTTTAATCCCTTTCCCTTCTCTCTCCCCATCTCAGTTCCCTTTCCTTTTTGTTTTTTGTTTTTTTGAGGCAGGGTCTCACTACATAGTGAGACTGACCTGGAACTCACTGTGTAGCCCAGGCTAGTCTCGAACTCACAGTGATCCTCCTGCCTCAGCCTCCTGAGTGCTGAGATTACAGGCGTGCACCACCATGTCCGGCTTCCCTTTCCTTTTGAACAAAATTTATCTCCCTACTTCCTATTGTCTATCTTTTATTTTTTCTATTTAAAAGCAATTTTTGGGCTGGGGATTTAGCTCAGTGGTTCTGCTGCCTGCCTTGCAAGCACAAGGACCCGAGTTGGATCCCCAGTACCCAAAACAAAACAAAACAAAAAACAACAATAAAAACAATTTTTGGGTACCTCCCCCAACCCCCCTCCATGAAGGGGAATAATAATCTGAGGAGTAAATACTTCCCTCTCGCTGGGGAGTTAGGAAAAGGGGAGGGGTATGGGGTCAAGTCCCAAAGACTCAGGCCTGGGGGGTACCCTAAGCCACATCCTGAAGCAGGATTGGCAAGAGTAGGGGTGTAGAGTCCACATGTGGGTGGTGGGGAACAATGGGACCTCTCTGCTACCAGTTGTAGTCCAACTCCCCCCTACTAAAACATGGCTCCCTCTCTCCCACAGCTGTGGTATCACACACACTCACACAAACACACACTCCCCTCAGCTAAACTTTTCCCCCTTCTCTTGCTCCTCAGCAACTGGTGGTCCCCTCTCCCCTGCTGCTGTTGCTCTTTCTGATGCTGTAGCTCTTGGGGCTCCTGCCACGGCACTTCTCCCCATCTTCCTAGTCATCTATCTTATTTTGCTGTTTGTTTCTATTTTGGGTTTCTCATATGAGAGACACCAGGAGTCCAGTGGTTTTTAACTTCAGTTCTACCACTTACTGCTTCATGACTACTGGTTAAAAGCTCAAAGAACAGTTTTAAAACAGGTATTTTTTATCTTATAATAAAACTATTTCCTCTGGTTTATAGGTAAGATCTCTACAAGCTTGGCAGCAGACAGTGGACCAGCATCTAATTTCCTGGCATACTGATCCTCCTGTATCAAGTACTCTGGTACCAGGTGAACCTCATTTATTCACCCAAAGTCAGGAGTCTCCTGATCAAAATTCTAATTGGTCCATTGCTCATGATGAAGCTCCTCAAGAGAAATCCCTACCAGAATTTCCAGACTCTGGTTTTCATTCTACCCTAACAGAACATGTTCATTGTTTGAAGGATTCCTTGGATTTTGAAAAAAGTTCCACAGAAGGCAGTGAAAGCACCATAATGGGAAATTCCATTGACACAGTCAAATATGGCAAAGAGACAGATTTGGGGGATTCAAGTGAAGAACACACTGGTGACTGGTGTAAGGAAAACTCGGCCAATGAGCAGGATAACAATCTGCTTGAACAGTACTTAACTTCAGTTCAGCAGCTAGAAGATGCTATTGAGAGGACAAATTTTAATGAAGTGACAGGAGATAGTGAGCTTCGCTTAGCTTGTTCCCTGGAAAAGTTAGATACCTTGTCTGAAAGGATTTCTGTAGATGAGACTCATGGCATATCTCCCACTTTGCAAGTTGAAATCAGTCAGACACCAGAGAATTATACATTAAATGCAGAAGTTCAAGGGCAGCAGCCAGAATGTGATTCTACATTACACGTACTGCATGTTGGTGTTACTGTGTAGTATGCTTGGTTTCTTGGAAAGCAGCAGTCCACTTAATTTTCTTAAGAATGTTTTTTTCTTGCCTTTTTTACAAAGGGGTGCAAACTCCTCTCACTTTGTTACTATTTATAAAAAATTTTTATTCTTGTCTCATATTTTTTAGATTGTAGATCTTCACCCTTTTATCTATAATGTACTATACTATGTTGAAAGTTATATGTATCATTTCTTAACAAGTATGTCAATGACTCTTTATTGTATCAACAGTTGTGTCAACAATAATTCATTTCTTTTAAAAAATAAACTAGAACAGTGGTGGGGAACCTATGACACACATGTTGTTTTTTGTTTTAAGACAAAAGATACTGATGTCTGAGTTGTTTTTTCTAAACTAAAACCTCAGTATTCAGGTTTGCTTGCAGTGCTGGCTCCTTAGTGATAAATAAGTGGGTTTTGTGTTGCAGTTTGGACACTTGTCTCTAAAGGTTCACCATCATTGAACTAGAATTTCTTAAACAAATAAGAAAAATTACCTTATATGCCAATAAGTTTTTTTATTCTAAGAAAATTATATATTTTAAAAAAGAAAAGAAAATTAACTATATATTAAGGAATGCAATTTTTTTTCAGTACTGGGGATGGAACTCAGGAACTTGTGAGGCAGGCATGGTGCCACTGAGCTAAATCCCTGGCCCAAGGAATGCAATTTTTAAAAACAAATATAAATGAAAATATGAAGGTTCTGAACTATTGAAATTTGCCACACAGTCTCATTGGAGTAAGAATGTGTTTTCTTAAGCCTTCCTCTAAGCCAAGAAAGCCTTCTTTAAGCAAATTAAGGAAGAAAAATTGTAAGATACCTTTTTATGTTTTTCCTTTGGGTACTGGAGATTGAACCCAGGGCCTCAAGCATGCTAAGCACATACTCTACCACTAAGCTCTTCCCCCAGCCCCTAGATAATAGGATTCTTAGTGGGGATGATTAAATTGTCACACAAAAAAACATTAGTCAATGTCATGCATCAGTTTTAACATACAAAATAAAATATTCCATTTAAGATTAAACATCAAGCTACTTAAGGGTCAGCAAAGAACATTTCTCTTCACTATGAAAAGAGATGCTAGACTCTATTCACTTGGAATATTGCCATTGTAAATGTTTACCTTTTCATTAAGTGTTTTTACCTTAAAGATAAGCCAGTGTATTGCCAGAAATTAATGTATATTCATGTTCAGTGTTTATATTTCAATATGTATTTCAGCAGAAGGTTCAAAGCATTCACTTCACTTTTTGACCTCTGCCATTTAAGTCAAGAACGTTTAAAATAAAACTAGTGGTAGAATATGATTTGTTTTAATCTACTCTTTGGAAAGTTCCACCTTTGAAAGAAAATTTATAATAATTACATAAAAGTAAACCTCATTTTACTTCTTAGAAAAAAATATATACCTGTAACTTAAGGAAGAAATATGATTGTGTTTGAATGCTATAGGTAGATACATTTGTAAATTGAGTAATTTTTCCAATTTTTGTATTTTACTCTTGTAGAATGTTCTAAGATTGATGGATAACACATACCCGATTTTCCCCAAAATATGGATATGTACCTATTTAAAACTATGGCAGTACTTAGTATTCTCTCAGTTTAGGTGCTAAGTGTTTCTTAATTATTTTCTTAAGAGTCGATAGTTTTCCTTCCTTGAAAGTATATAAAATAAGAGCTTCTGATCCTTCAAGAGTAAAGTTGAAGGGGTCAGGGATGTAGCTCAGTGGCGCCATGCCTGCCTGGCAAGTACAAGGTCTTGAGTTTAATCTGCAGTACCGGGGGAGGAAAAAAAAAAAAGAATAAAGTTGAAGATGACACAGTACACTTTGTTAATAGTTAGAAATGTTTCCTCTAGTATGGTCTATTATATTTTTCTGTTTATAAATATATAGCACTCAGGTAGAGAAGACTTGGATTTTTTTTCCTAGAAATCCAGAATCCCTTGAAGAGAAAATGTTTTCTGTTATAAACAAAACAGAAGTCTTACCTCCAAAAAAATATTCCCTCATGAAACATGTAACATTGACTGCATGGTAAATAAAAACTACATTATGTTTTGAATAATAATTATCTTTTGTGAATGATTTTGAATCTCTTTTAAATATACCCTATTTTTCTAGATTAGAGTTAAGTGCCTCCTTTGCTGCCCATGGTTAGACAAAGAGAAACCAATTTACACTGACTAATAAATAAATACTGCTTCATGGAACATTCATTGTTCAGAAAAGATGCTGAATGTCAAGTCTCAGTATTACCTAAGTAGTTTTTTTTTAAAAAACATATTTGTTTTCTTTTTTTTTTAAAGTAATGGCAAATACAACTAAATTCATTTGATTATAAGCATGTCAGCAGGTTTTCCTTTTTTACCTTTGTCTTGTTTTTCTAGTCCATAAATAGTATTTGGAATACTTTTATTACTGGTGTTTAGAAGTACAAGGATAGAGTATCTTTTTCATGGGGGATAGAGTATCTTGAATGTAGATAGAATGGAAGCAATGTAAATTAGAATGTAGAAGAACTGAGGCATTGTCTTAATATATTTTGGTGGGTTTATAGTGCAATTTAAAAGTAATTCTGGTAACTAGGATATTTGGTTTTAACTCTGGGCTATTTGTTAGTTTGGCCAAAGAGAATTGATCTGAAAAGTTTTGGACAAATTAAGCTTTGAACATGGTCTTTTGTGGTTTCCCCCTTTTAAAAATTTTTTTGTTTTCCCCTTATATGAGACAAGTGGCTTTTTTAAACCAGAGATTTTGTTCACTTGAGCTATTTTAATTCACATCAGTGCTTTTGATTTAGAGAATAATTATAATATTATATATGTATACATTGTGTAAAATTTTCTCATGAAATGCTGAATTTGATTATATTTCATCTTCAGTTTTACGTAACAATAGATGTTAAAGTTTTAACTCTCCCAGTGTACAGAAAATTTTAATCATGACAACTGATAATATTTAATTAGTTTCATATTATAAGTTTAATTATAAAAGGTATGCTGGGCATGGTGGTGCATGCTTGCAATCCCAGCACTTGGGAGGCTGAGGCAGGAGGATTGTTGCACGTTTGAGGCCAGCCTAGGCTACATTGTGAGTTCAAGGCCATCCTGCACTACATAGCAAGACCCTGTCTCAAAAAAAGTTAAAAGATATCACAATATGCATGTTTTAGGAAAATGTCTGTGTAGCCACATAGTTGTTTGTATATATGTAAATAACTTTATTTTTTAATAATGTGGATGCCATTCTTAAGTATGTGTTTTTTTCTCTATTTGTTTTGGATTATTTTAAATATACAAACACTATAATAGGGTATTTTCCTGTTACCTACTTAAGACAAGTCTAGTTGTATTTGTACTATACTCGCTCTTAGCCAAAATGCTGAGAAGTGATGACTAGTTGTTTTTTTTTATAAATGTTTGCAGGAATATACAAGTTTTTCATATTATACTATCTCCCTTGGTACTTATTTTTTGTGATCTTAAAATTGGATCTATAGCATTTAAATGAAAAAACTTTTTTTCTGTAGAATTAAGACAATAAAAAGAAAATATAAAATGAGTGATCAGTTTCCCATTATAAAGAAAAAAGATTTCATTGTTTAATATATATTCTTATTTTCCTTACCCCTTATTGAAAGATATTTATTGTATTGTCATGTTTTAAATTTTAAATATATGTTACTCTCATTTTGAAGTTAAGTAGAAACTAAGCAATATTCTAAACTTTTTTTTTTTAATTTGAGGTCTCACTATAATACCCAGGCTGACCTTGAACTTCTGGGTTGATGCAATCCTCCTACCTCAGCCTCCAGGGTAGCTGGAACTACAGTCATATACACTTTTTTTTTTTTCTTTTGGTGGTAGTGGGGACCCAGGGCATTTACACCAAGCTACATCTCTAGACCTTCTTTTATTTTTTATTTTGAGACAAGGTTAGGCTGGGCTTGAACTTGCCATTCTTTTGCCTCAGCCTCTCAGAATGCTGGGTTACACTTGTGTGCCACCATGCCTGCCTTGCATTTAAACATTTTTAATGATACTACTTTCATTGATCAATCCTGTTGTGCCATATTAAAATTAAAACACAGGTGAACAAAGCAGTCCTTAAAGCCTTGGAGAGAAATGGAATTTGTTTCTAAATGAGTTGCTTTCCAATCTGAATTAATGCAAATCACACTAAATTTTATTTTTATTGATTTTAGTAGATGACAGGAATCACTCTGTAGTGACTTTGTTTATGAGTACATAAATTCAAGTGTTTTAATTTTTTTAATTTAAAAAATTTTAATTTTAATTTTGTTTAATTTTTTTTTGTGGTGTTGGGGGTGGAACCAAGGACTTGCCTCATGCTAGCCTGTGCTGTACCCCTGGCCTGACCCACACCCTCAGCATCATGTTTTGTAATACTTTTAGTGTTGACAATAAGTCTTTTAAAATAATTTGATTTTGGACCATTTTTAGATTTTAATTTTATTGTAGAAATAATAGTGATTTAAAGTGGTTTTATTCTGTTTTGTGAATGTTTAATGTTTTATATTATACTTATTTAATTTGTATTTGCGTCTAATTTTAAATAAAAGATTTATGCATTTGAATGCCTCCATCTGTTTATTTTGGTGATCAGTAGTAATGGTTGTTACTCATAGCATTTGTCATTAATGGGTAAAGTTCAGAACACATTGGAAATAGAACTCTGCTGAGGAAAATGTGGAGTATTGTCATTATGTAAGTGAATTTATGAGAAAACAGTCTTAGCCTTATGATAATGGTTATCAAATGAAAGGGATGCTAGTTTAGTTTTATTCAATTTAGATTTCATTACTTCTAGGATACTAACTGAAATTCTCTGCTCACAGAAGAGCAGGTATTCCTCATAGAATACAACTGACACTGTCAGTTTCTGTTGAAGACAATGGGTACTGAAAGTGCTAGGGTTTAACTGAGTAGAAGCCCTCTTACTTGATACAGTTAACTGTTGAAGTTCATGAGCATGGCATGGAAGAAGGGATAAGGGATTACTTGGAGTCAGTGTCCAATTCAAAATTCAAGAAGGCCCAGAGGGACTGCCCTTAACCAAGACCCCCTCAACATGAGTCTCATAAAGACAGCCCCAAACTGAAGCTTCTGTGACTTTTTCTTGATAGAACCAGGAAGCAAGAATAAAGGACAAAAGAAGGACATCTGTGCAGGAATTCATGTAGGGGGCCAATGGAAGGGTAATCAATGTCTTAGTTACTTTTCCTGTTGCTGAGACAAAATACCCAACACCCAAAGTTAAAGG